TGCTTCTAAAACTTAATTCTGTCTTTTCAAATGGTAAGTTAATAGTCTTACAGGCAATAAATGATATGCATGGATGATTACTGCATTAACAACTAAAATTACCCACCAAATAAAAATTCACATATTTTAACTTGGCACACAGGACCCCCACCGGAGTGCTTTTAAATATTTATTAAATGCGTGGTAAGGTTCTGTGCGAAATAATGTGTGTGGTTTGAAGACTGCTTCTAAAACTTAATTCTGTCTTTTCAAATGGTAAGTTAATAGTCTTACAGGCAATAAATGATATGCATGGATGATTACTACATTAGCAACTATAATACATGACATAAGAAAAAGGTATAATCTATGAACTGAATGGTTGTGAGAAAAGAAAAGTCATAGCCAGTTCAGAAATCTGAAAAGGTTTTAAGAGAGAAGAGACATTTGAGCTGGCTGTTGAAGGATGAGAGCCAAAAATTAGGCAGGGAAAGGATATCTTGTGTAAATGGAAAAGTAAAAGGGAAATTTCCAGAGGTAAGAAAATTTGTTGAATAGGAATAAAAATGAAGACAGGGAAAGCTAAAAGGTTGTGGAGAAATTTGCCTTAAATTTTACCTTAGGGACTTTGAATTTCTTGAGGAAGCCATTGGAATGCCATTGATATTTAAAAAATTAAGAATTCCTTTTGAACTGTGTTATCTTATAATAAACTTCCTAGGGATAAGAAGATTTGGGATGAAGGTGAGGGCCGTAGATATGCAAGAATGTTATTAGATATAAATTAACTTTCCACTGTATTTTGGGTATTTTGTTATAATCCAGAAGCTGCCAACGAACTATTTGTTATATGGATGTTTCATTTGAAGTGTATTGCCCTTTTTTTTTTAATCTCTGACAGTGTTGAATAATAGAAATAAATAATGGGAGCCACATTAAATTTTTCAAGAGTCACATTGAAACAGTGAGAAGAAACAGATAAAATCAATATTGATAATATAACTTACTTAACTCATTATATCCAAAATATTATTTCAGCGTATAATCGATATAAAAAGTTACTGAGATATTTTACTTTATTTTTTCATAAGTCGTTAAAGTCGTGTATGTATTTTATACTTATAGCATATTTTAATGTGGACAGCAACATTTTAATTTCTCATTGGCCATATGCGGCTAGTGGCTACTCTATTACATATCATAACACTATTATATAGTGTATAAAACATAGTACATTAAAAATGCTTATATTAAACATAGAATGAGCTATTTTCACATATTTGTAAATATCTTGAAGTTTAGGATTAATAGTCAGGTCCTTTCTCTGTCATTTATATAGTCAGTTTATGTAAATTATTAATATCCCTTAACCTCAATATTTTTAATCTTTAAACTAGGAATTTAATAATAC